TGCAGAACATGATAAATATAAATATTGCGCAGGTCCAGAGGCAGGAAGTAAAGGGCAAAGCCGGCTACATTAGCACATCAAAGAGCTATTAGAAGTTAAGTAAACATGTCATAAGGAGAAGCATATCAATCAGAAAAGGAGGTGGATGGGCAGTGATGGAAGTTGGCAAAGTGACAAGGCAGATTTGTCACGGCGCCGCAGTGGCACCAGCAGTTCTGACCAGGAGTTCTGGTCAGCAGACCTCATCTGTCTGGGGACAGAACAGCTCTGCTGAGATGACACAACCACCAAGCCCACAGACGGGACAATCGATGCCATTAAATGCCAGACTTTTAAAGCCGAATACTGTTGGTCTGATTCCATGATCACTGAGTCAGCAGGTTAAAACTGAGGTCCCCTTGGCTGTTAAGTTTTTTTGTTTGTTTTAAAACCACAATTTGTAGTTAGTCTTATATATTAGCTTTGGTAGGCAAGACGTAAGTGCATCCGGAGAAGAATGAATGATCTGCTCTCGGGTTGTGAAAGAAAAAAATCAGTGATTTGATCTTGCAAAGTTGAGTCAAAGATTCTAGAGCTCCGTGAACTCACTGGAGTGCCAACACGAGAGTTCTTGGTAGCAGACTGTCCGCCTTGATGGCACCCTTCCTAGGTGTGAGGCCCACCAACAAGGGCGATGCTGTATTACATTGGAGCATTTAGAATACAGAAAAAACCCAGCCACAATCCCACCAATGTGACAGTTTTGATGTCATTGTTAATTTTGGCGTATTTGTATATAATTGCATTGTTTAATTTAGTTTACATGTGTATTTATTTAACAATTTTTTATTGAATTGCTACTATGTTCTAGATGCTGCTCCAGGCACTCGGTGAATAAAAGCTTTTGCCTTCAAGGAGCATACCTTTAAAATGAACACAAAATAAATACACGGCATATTAGTTGGTAATCAGTGACGTGAAGAGGAGGTGACAGAGAATGATGGGTGGGCTCCTGAAAGGGGTGGATCACGGAAGGCCTCCTGGAGGAAGTGGCATTGCATAAAGGTCTGACTCACCTTTCAAGAGGATGTGGTATTAAAGGAAAAGAGGGAGGACCTAGACTGCATGAGACTTGGGATTTACTGATCTATATTCCTAAAAATCAGTTTATTCAAGATTTAAGAGTGGGTTAGCTATATTATGGCTATTAAATCTTGACTAGCGCTGGCATTTTAGAATATTAGATACTTATTCATTATCTTAGAAGACTGATGTGTGTGCATGTTGTATGAAGCACCTGGACATAATTTGGACAAATAGTATATGATTCTACTATATGAAGTGCCTGGAATAGTAAAATTTATAGGTACAGAAAATAGAATAGTCATTACCAGGGGCTGGGGCAGGGAGGACTGGGGAGTTGTTATTTAATGGGTCTGGAGTATATGTCGAGAATGATGAAAAAGTTCTGGAGATGGATGGTGGATAATGCTGATGACTGTATAACAACATGAATGTACTTAATGCCACTGCATGATACACCTAAAAATGGTTAAAATAGCAAGTGCAATGTATATGTATTTCATCTAGTTTTTAAAAAAAGATGAGCTGAGATGAGGTCCTAATGCCTATAGGAAACACGTGTGTCCTAACATGGATTTCCCAAAATCTGGATTATTTCCTTATTCTAGAACCCAGAAGAGGTTCTGCTGGATCAAAATGCATGGGGTTTAATAAGCATCATCAAATTATTTGATGAAAACAATTGTGCGAGTTTACATTTCTCCCAGGTACACACAGAGGTACTGAGCCCACCACCAGTACCCGACCCCTGTCCCCGGCCAAGGGAAAGCAAATCATCTGAATAATCCACAGTGCTAGTGAAGGACTAGGCGCTGAGTTTTAAGGAAACAGTGGTGCCATGGTTTAATATGCGCTTCTTGGTTTACTTGTGAGGCTTATACTGTCGGTATTTTTTTTTTTTTACTAAATGTATTTCCTATTGCATGGGTTGTCTGGTTTCTTATTTTAAAGTCGATGTCTCACTGTGTTTAAGGCAGCTTAGCAAAACACACGCAAACAGGGCGATTTAAAAATGGGGAAAATCGGAGCAAAGAGAAAATAATGGCAGGAAAGTAAAATGAAGACGAGGTGAGGCATTGTACATGGAGTTTGCCGAGGGGTCCGGTGGAGGGAGGCAACTCAGTTGTCTGTGAGTTCTCTGGAAGCCGATGGGAAAAGAGGAACAAGACCCCCACCTTCGTGATGCCTTTTTCTTGGTAGTAACGCACCGACGCCTGGTGTCGGAGCTGAGACAAGTTGTCTCCGTGGGCTCATACGATAGGCTGTATCCACCGTGGCGGGAACATTATTATTATTTATTGAATTTATTGGGGTGGCGCTGTTTAATAAAATCATACAGGGTTCACATATTCAAGTCTGTAACACACCATCCGCTCACTGCATCGTGTGCTCACCACCCAGAGTCAAGTCTCTCTCCGTCCCCATTTATGCCCCCGGTGCCCCTTCCACCTCCTCCTGCCCCCCTTTCCCTCTGGCAATCACCATACGTTTGTCTGTGTCTGTTTTATTATTATTATTATTATTATTATTATTATTATTATTATTATTATTTTTGCTTAATCCCTTCACCGTTTCACCCAGCCACCTGACACCCGCTCCCCTCTGACGGCCGTCCGTCTGTTCTCTGTGAGTCAGTTTCTACTTTGGTTGTTACTTTGCTTTGTTTATTCGATATCACATACCAGTGAAATCATATGGCATTTGTCTTTCTCTGACTGGCTTATTTCACTTAGCTGAATGTTCTCCAGGTCCACCCATGCTGTCCCAAAGGGTAAGATTTCCTTTTTTTTTACGGCCGAGTCGTACTCCATTGTGTAAAGGTGCCACGGCTTTCTTATCCACTCACTGCCGACTGATGGGACGGGAGCTGCTTCTGGATCTTGGCTGTTGTGAATAATGCTACAGTTGAACACAGGGGGGGGCATATATTCTTTCAAATTAGTGTTTCGAGGTTCTTTGGATAAACGACCAGAAGTGGAATCACTGAGTCAAAAGGCAGTTCCATTTTTAATTTTTTGAGGAAGCCCCATACTGCTGCTGACAGTGGCGGCACCCGTCTGCACTCCCACCAACAGTGCACGAGGGTGCCCTCTGCTGCCCATCCTCGCCAGCACGTGCCATTTGGTCCTTTCTTGACGGCAGCCGTTCCAGCAGGCAGGAGGTGATACCTCATTGTGGTTTTCATGTGCATCACAGAGAATGTCTTAAACACAGTTTCCTGGGAGAAGCTTACAGTATTTAATGGCAAGCTATGGGATGGCCTAGACTTTTTTTTTTTCAATCAAGGCTTTCAGGGTAACCAGAAATAAATCCCAGATATCTGCTAAGTGCTCATAGTATATGTACGTAATTCAAATGTGTTATTAGAGGGGTAGAGGAGCATTTGGGGGGACTGACTCTTGCTCCTCCCTCTGATCAGTGTTGCTGTCACGTTCCCATAATTGGTTAGCTCTCCGTGGATGAGACCCAACTGAGAGCAAGAAAACTGTGAGCGACCGAAGGTTTCCATGCTACCCTCTCCTCCATGTTCCTGTTTATGGCTCTTCCAGAACTAGTTTTGGGTGGCGAACGCCTTTGGGGAAAGGAGGCAGGTTCTTAAACACAGACCTCAGAGCCACCCTCCCGACTTCCAATCCTGGGGAGCCGGGATGGAAACCCAGACTTTCTGACTTAAACCCATGTCTTTTTTTTCTTTTTTGCCAATATCATGCGATCCAATCAGCTGGTCACTATGATAAAATACAGTATGACGCAACTATTTGTATTTTCTACATTGTATCTCAAAAATTGGACTTGCTCTTCAGCACCTGGAATGGAACAAAAATCAACATCTATTACAAGCAACAGGGGAAACACGCAGAATTGGCATTCTCTGGGATTGTGCACTGTCTTCAGCCATTAGGGGATTTAGTTGAATTTACATGTGAGAGCCGCAGCGCATTCCGGCAAAGGGACGAGGATTACGTGGAAATGAGCCGTGCTGAAAAGGGGCTGGAGTAGCTGGAGGAGAGGGAGATGAAGACAACAGTAATACCCGCAGCTTAAGTAATCACTCACGCCGTTTATTGTGGCTTCCGCACACTGCCGTGTAAATCTATCACACGCGATCTTATGCAGGGGGATTTCTCTAAGCAGCATTGCTGCGAGGCACAATTGGATTTTCGATAAACCTCGTGCATCCGTTTCATATCTCCCTTTGTTACAGGGCTTTCAAAGTGGTGGTGGGAAAATGGAGACAACGGTATTCAAACATGAATAAAAAATGATAAAGAAATCCTAAGGAAACCAAGCGGTATCTAGCCCTTATCCGAAGAGCGAGGGGATTGCATTGCACGGATGGCTCAGGGAGACGTGAATGAGGAGGTGTTCTGAAATTGCTGCACGCCCTCAAACAACCCCAGGCTTCTGAAATCCACCCTTGTCAAACATTTTCCTAGAAATGATACGTACCCCTGATGCCTTTTACGGCAATGACTCATGCATTTTCAGTCTCATTTTTGTTGTGCAGAGTAAGCACTGTATTTTTTAAAATTATATTTGATTGACTATGCTATTACAGTTGTCCTGATGTTCCCCCTTTGCCCCTCCTCCACCCAGCATCCCCCACCCCCTCAGGTAGCCCTCCCACAATTGTTCATGTCCACGGGTCATGAGTGTAAGTTCTTTGGCTACTCCATCTCCTATACTGTACTTCATGTCCCAATGGCTATCCTGTAACTACCTATTTGTACTTCTTAACCCCCTCACTTCTTCACCCATTCCCCCACACCTCCTTCTTATCTGGCAACCATCAAAGCACTCTCTGCATCCATGGTTCTGTCTCTGCTCATCTTGTTTGCTTGTTTTTTTTACATTCAACTGTTGATAGAGATGTATTTTTGCCAATTTATCATTCATAGTTTTGATCACCTTTTTCTTAAATAAGTCCCTTTAACATTTAAAAACACAAAGACTCCATGACTTTGCATCTCATCCTCACTCAGGGCCCATGCTGGTCTTCTCTGTGGCATTCCGATTGTAGTTCCTGTGCTGCCGGAGCGAGCCTGGGGTTGTCCTTTTCTTTTCAGTGGTACGAGATTTGGGGAAATGTCACAAGGTAAATTGGGTATAATTCCTTAATTCCTGGCCTGGGGGCACTTTTTCCAGAGGTAAAAGGTGACGGTTGCCACCTCGTCCCTGGAGAAGTGCCAGGGTCAGAACACAGAGAGCCCGGGCTTCTCGGGCCTGATGCTGAAGGATGACAACAAAAGAGCCCCCTTGTCGGAGCTCTTGTCTGGGAACAGGACAGACACCCACACTCTAGTCTAAATTTGTCAGCGGTGTCTCAGGAGACACGATTCGATTTGTGGCAACGCTGAATCGAGGTTGCAGAGAGCGAGAGAGCCCACGTGGTGCTTGGCATTTTGGCATTTAGATAGAGCTTCCTGGTTTTAATCTCATGCATTATTTTAAGGATCTAAGGGAGCTTTAGGGCAGGTGAGCCTAATGTTTGTGGGGCCAGATGACTTGTCTGCTGCTCACGCCGCATCCAAGTCCCTTTCAGGTCCCAGCCACTCCATTCCACCACTTCCTTTGGTCTTTAAGAGGAGGGCCAATATGTTTATCTGAAAAGTGGGATTGATGAGATTTATTCAGGGCTTTTATTTTTGTATAGTGTGCTTTCTTCAACATTTAATTTCCTCTTCCTGAGAGCTGATGAGTCTCAGGACTACTGTACCAGCGTTGCCCCACCTGACCGACAAGGAAGCCAGTCTTGAAGAGGCGATTAAGAACGTCCGTCCCAGCCACATGTCCGTGAGAGCAAGGATGCTCTCACGGGACCGGGCGCTCAGCCCCCACCGACAGCCAGCCCCCTCTGCTGCTTGCCGGGGGTCACCCTGTGAAGGGGTCTCTGTTGAACACCAGCCCGCACGACGGGGCCGGGGGTGCAACAGCATTCCGCTTTCCCACTGGCCCCTGCCTCCCTTCTCCTTTCTGTTCTCTCCTTTGTTCTGCTTTCTCAGACAGCGTGTCCTCGGGCCTCCCTGAGACGATAGGCAGCCCGCACATGGACCGAAGCGTCCTGCCTCTGACGCCGGTTCCCAGCTCCGGCTCGGGCTCCGGGAGGTTTCCTTCTCGTTTTATTTACCCATGTGATTGTCAGGTCCTCAGGGCAGAGACTTTGCAGTGTGTTCGGGGCAGTGTTATTTATCGTGTAAGGCTGTGTATACATCGGGCACGCGTACAAATGCTAAAATAACAGTGCTACTCATTTTGATTGAGGTTTGTGTGCAGTCGTTCCTGACAAAGAGCAGGTGGTTTGTTCGATTGCTGTTGTGAGAGCAAGGTTATAAGTGGGCCCCTCAGCCTTTCTCCAACTTCCACGCATTCTCTTTACTGAGCACAAAGCGGGTGCATTTCCTTCTGCCTTTATTGGAGTCTGGCAGCACAGAGAATACTTGTATTAAGAGCATTTCCCTATTTAGTTGAATGGTTTGCTGCCTTTGGCTTTGTATTTAAGAAAATACACTGTTGGTGGGTGAAGAACATAACAATGAGGTACTTTGTACCTCAAAGCATTTCTACCAAGCGCCAGAGCTTGATTTATGGTGTGGATATTGTTTGGGGGATGGTAAATACGCCGTGTGGATTCAGTTTTGACCTCAGCGATTCAAACTGCACCACTCCGTCCCATCCAGGGCCACGCAGTACATGGTATTTGTGTGCCTGTAGCTGGGCTACCGCGTGCTCTATGCATGGTTCGGGCATGGCTCACGTGGCTAATGAACCGGCAGCTGGATGAATCCAAGTTTCCCACCTACTTTCTCCAGTGCTGTGTGGGTTCCCGGGAAAGAACACAGCGGTGTCCCCTGCTGGCGTGCGGGCATGTCTGGGCATCTCTGCTGACCTGGTGGGGGTGCCCCTCAAAGTCTATTTGCAGGGGCACCAAGGAGACTTTGGGAGAGCACCCATCTTGGGGGCGGGAGGAGCCCACCATGAAGAGGTGGATTTGGGTGCAGGTGCAGATGCCTTGAGTAGTGTGTACTGCGTGTGGCTTGTGGGTGCCCCCTTGGCATGGTCCCACTGCCCTCGTGGCTGTAAGAGAAAGCCAGGTGTGTTTCCCCAGCACCTCCTAACACCAGGACACCAGTCATGCTGTGCAGAGGACTTAAAGGGACTGTCCACAGAGGCGGGTGTCCAGTCTCCCTTCCTCATCACTGTGGACCACTGCCCAGCTGGGCTCCGTCAGGCCCCCGATCGTCTCCTCCTAGAGCCTGCAGCTGGTTGGCCCTCACACCCGCCTGCAGAAAGCCCCGTGAGAGCCGGGACGGCCGTCTGGTCCCCACTCCATCACCAGCACTGAGCCCAGGCTTGCCTCACGGAGGAGCTCGGTCAGCAGCGGGACGGATGACGTCTGGGTGAAGAATGAAGTCCGGCTCCCGGCTGCCCTGGGGTGCCTGGCGGAGCCGGGGTGAGCTGCTGTGTGCTGTGCGGAAGCGAGACGGCCTGGGGCGTGGAGCTGCTCTGGGCGGTTGGCCGGCCATTAACCCGCCCTTCCGAGTCAGGAGAAGGTAAATGGATATTGTTTTTCTTTTCTTTTTTGAGCATATTTATCACATCTGGATTCTGTCTGAGTTCTTGTCACGTGGCTGCACCTTTGCGGCACCCTCTGAGTTGACGACAGCAGAGTCCTGGATCGATGTCACCGAGTGGAGCCTGGGCCACGTCACCAGCCTCGGTGACTGAAGTCACGTGAGCATTTACCACGTGTTCCTCCTCCATGCCACGGGTGTCAGGAACGTCCCGGGTTGCCAGGGCTGCTCATCTTCTGACCCCGGGATCGAGAGACACCTTTTTGCCAGCTGTTCCCTATTTCCAGGTGTCACTCGGGTGCCACCTGCTAAGCCCTGCTTGCCTCTTGTTTGTTTTCTTGTTTCTCCGCTCCTGTTATCTGTGAAGCGCGCGTCTCAGTGCCCCTTGCACCTGCAGGGCCCAGGATGCAGTGAGAACCAGTCCCAGCTGCAGACGGATGCTGCGACACACGCTAAGGAAACCGGACCTGGACACGGGGACGGGGCGTGTTCATAATGGGCCCTCACATCGCACTTTCATCAGAAATTTGCAAACCGCAGAGGCGTCAAAGTTCTATGTGATGTTTGTGAGAGAAGAGAATTGTTCTGGCCTTAAAGAAAACATTCCGGAGGTCACCAGACTGCTGAAAACCTCGCGTGTGCCCACTAGGGACCACGTAGGGACGGCATGGATGGGTGTTGCTAGGAAAAGGAGGTCGGAGCTGGTTTACAGAACCACCCAGTGTCTTGTTACTTTCCCAGCATCTTTGGCTTTGACCTGATTTCTACATCTGTGTCTCATTTCCCATCTGGCCAATTCCTACTCAGTTTTTAAGGCTTAGCTCCTTAGCAGAGCTTCCACCACCTTCTAGTGTTAGGTGCCCACCCCTGACCACTGCTTGCAGCACCCTTTAGCGCTTGTGTGCATGGTGATATCGTTCGGGAGAGGGCGAGGGCTGGTAGGTTTGCCTGCAAAGGGGCAGAGAGGAAGCAACTTTGGCTTCGCCAGATACACAGTCTCTGAGCAGCCATTCAACTTGGCTGTGGGAGGATGTAAGCAGTCACAGACAATGTCTAAATGCACAAGTGTGCCGTCCACCGATGACATTTAATTACAGACACCAAGATTTGGAATTCATATGTTCTTCATATGTCCATGAAATATTCTTTATTTGCTTTCCCCCCCAAAACCTTCACAGATGTGAAAACCATTCTTAGCTCCTGGACCGTACCCAAACAGGCTGGGTCTGAACCTGTGGGCTTAGTTCGTTCGCCCCTGACTTAGAGCGTTTATTGGGCCACGTGTCTGTCTCTCCCACTTGACTGTCAGCAGACTGAACCCGGGAGTGGGGTCCCCAGGACAGACCACGGTTCCTGGCACTTTGGAAGGGCCCAGCAGACATTAGTTAAGTGGCTGCGTGTGTGGGAAGGTGAAGCAGGAATACTTCCCAGTGTTTGCTGAGCACTTACTATGGTGTCAGGCATTGTGCTGAGCACTTTGTATGCATTTTCTCATTTAACCCTCATTTGATTTTGTGATCTGGAGACACTAAAAGCAACAATTATCATTAGACATTGTGCTAAACACTGTGTAGGCTCATTGAATCCTCTCAGCCGCCTTATGGACTGATAATATCTACTTTTACAGCTGGGGGAAATTAAGCCTGGGGAGATTATTTGTCCAAAGTCACCCAGCCAGGGAGTGGCGTGGGGTGAGGAAGGAGCCCCATCAACCAGGCTCAGGGGGCCTGACTCCTAAGCCCCTTGCTGAAGAGTCTTGGAGCTCGGACGATCTCTTCTTGAACTTGAGCGGGAGACACGTCCTGGGTCCTTGCACGGCGATGCTGAGACAGGGATGAGAGATGTTCTTGTCTGCTCCCAGCCATTTGGTTGTGTTTCGGAACTGTCCACCCCTGCGTTCCCAACCAGCAGTGGGACGTTTGGAATGTTGCTTAGCCTTTCCGGGTCAAAGTCTTCCGCTGGCATCGCCAAGAGTTTGGATTGCTCCCTGTCAACCTTTCTGAGGTTTCTGTAATTTTATTCTCCACCATGTTCTGCTTATGTACTGCTGTCGCCTGTCTGTTCTCTCAACCTTGACTATAGAAATCTTGGGCCCCTCAGGGTTGCTTGGGCTGGAGGGGAGGGGAGGGAGCGAGGAGGAAAATGTCAATCTAGTCACAAATACATTTCTAAGTCCAGAAAATGGCTGTTTAAAGTATCCTTGCTTTTTGGCTTTTTTTTTTTAATGGAAGGCAGTTTTTCCAAGAACAACAAGGAACATTGTCTCTAACAAATGACAGTCGTGGTAGCACCTTCCGTTTTCTGAGCACCGTTTAGGAGTACGCACCTTTTTGAAGGCATTATCTAATCCACCCTCCTGATATTCCTTTGAGACGGGGAAGAGGCTTTTTTATTAGACGATCCTTTCATGTAGCTGCAGAACGAGCCTTTCTTTGTTGTGAACCGAGGGCGCTGAGTATCCCAGAGAGATT